CCGAACCCGCTCCCTGGGCCCCACCCGCAGCTGCGGTGGGCACCTGAGCATTCTGCCCGCCGCTGCCGGGTCCCCGGGTCCCCGCTTAAGCAACATTCATTCCGCGCCTGCCCGGGGCCCGAGCTCCCCCCGGAGCCTTGATGCCTGGGAACTTGGTTCCTTGCCCGGGCTCCACCTCCATCTTGCCTTTCCCCTCCTGGACTCGCAGGGACCGAGGCCTGGGTCGTGTCCGCCACCTCCGGAGACCTCTCGCCGAGTCTGCGAGACCTCGGTGGCCATAGGAATGGGCTTTATCTTACAGTTTAGAAAAGCCTGCTGAAGTACCCCCTGTGCCATGAGCACCAGGGCTCAGCCGGGACATCTAGAACTAAACGAACCCTTTTTGCCCTCGCCAACAGCCTGCGATAGTTTGACCCGAATAATTAGATAGTCTGGGCATCCTGCCCCTCACATGTAGGCACTCAGGCCGGAAGTGGGTCTGGAATCGCAGAATTCCGCTGGAAGGATCTCTTTAACTTTGCGGACCTGCATTCCCCCCCACTCCACACCCCCCACCCCCGCCTTATTTTTATTGTACTTGGGAGCTGAGAGGGATCCTCCCTTTTTGAAAGGAGGGGAGGTCGCCAAGAATAACTACTAAGCAGCTTGGGTCGTGTAAGTGTCCTCTGCAGGGCTGGGACCTTTCTCCTCTGCCCTTTCGCCTGCTTATCTGACTGCCTGGGGGAGGTTGGATCCACACTGGGGTCTACTGGTCAGTCAGGGCCTAAGGCCTCCCTTCTTTCCTCCTCCGCCCATCCTGCACACCCTTCCACGGAATGCCTAGATTCAGGTCTTGCCCCTTCTCGGAGGGTAGTGGCGACTGAGACTTGGTGCTCCTGGGGCTGTCCCTGAGCCCCAGGCCTGCCCCACGGGAGTCATTGCTGCCACCATTCCTGCAGCCACGGGCAGGCCTTCCCGTGGACTCCCTGTGAGAGCCTGAGAGTCGGAAAAGGATCCTTGCTGAGCTCAGTTCTGTGAAGAGGGGGCGGGGCTACTCTCTGGGCTGAGCCCCAGAAAAGGGAGGATCAAGATGGCCTTAGTATCCTGGGCCCAAGTCCCTCACCATTTCTTTCTCCCGTCCAGTGTGGGATAAACAGGAACTGGAGCCTGGCTAAGGGGAGGAGCATGCCTGCATGGGCTGCAGGGTCACTTGCTGGAGGGTTGAGTGAGGAAAAAAACACACAGATTGTGACCTGCACAGCCCCACAGTGGATGTGGGCAGGGGTTCTGAGGCCTTCCTTACCCTGCCTCTGCCTGTCCTAGGTCTGTTCTCAGAGCGATGGGCTGTGGAGACTGAGCTGCCGCCATGATTGGAGGCTTATTCATCTATAATCACAAGGGGGAGGTGCTCATCTCCCGGGTCTACCGAGATGACATCGGGTGAGTCCCCTGGCTGAGCCAGCTGTGCCCCACCTCCATCCCTCCTCCCCAGCATGCAGAATTAGGTCTGTTCCTCTCAGTCACTTGACTTGGACCACTCCCACCCCTAACCCAACCCCCTCCCCTTCTGCATCCTGGAAGCTCAACATGTCCGGCCTGGCTCCCATGAGGTCTGGTAGTATTGGCCTGGCAACCAGTGCTGGCCCCCAGGTGGGACCTGTGGAATGATGGGGCCCTCACTGTCCTAGGAACTGCTGCCTTTCCTGCCTCCTGTTTCCCTTAGTGACAGACCTGGTTGCTGGGAGGAGTGCTTTTGCCTGGGCAGGTTGATTCCTCCTTTGAGGAGGAGGGAGACGTCTCCTGGGTGGAGTTAGTGGCCAGGCTGGAGGTACTAATCCATCTAAGTCTTGCCTTTAAAAGCCCTTCTCCTGACTAGAACCTTCACTGGATTCTTTTGAAAGCCTTTCCAGGCTGCCAAATCCTCTTCCACTCCCTTTCTCAGAAAGAGGCAGGCTGCTGACTCAGCTGTTTTCAGTTCCTCTGGGCCATTCCTAGAGGAGAGATTGTGAGCACTGAGGCCCTCCCTGGGTCACGGAAGGAAAGGCACTCCCTGACCTATCAGAGGAGACCCAGAATAGCGTCTTGTTCTGGGTCCCACAGACCTTACAAGTGGGCACAGCCTTCCTTTTCATTCTGCCCCATCGTGCATGCCACTGTTCTTTCCTGAGGACATGGCCTAGCCTCAGCAGTCTAATGAGGCTAGGCTCCTCGGTTCGTTTTTCTTAGGCCCTGTTTTTCTTCCTCAAAGATCTTGGGGGTAGACAGTCAAAGAATGGGCTTGCTACAGTGCCCCAGCTCGTTGGCTTTTGGCTTCTAGGCTGATGGACTGGCCTTTGTGGCTATTTGTCCACTGGCTGGTGGTGGGGCATGAGCTAAAGATGTGGCAACACCTGGCTTGCCTGAGCCTGGCTGGCTACACCCATCTGCACCCTGCTCCGGCCCTGCATGGACCTGGTTAAGCCAAGGCCAGGGCATACACCATCATGCATGCCTTGCCGTGCTCTCCACCCCTTGCCTGTTGTCTGTTTTTACCTCATGGTGTGTGCTGCCTACCCCAGTGTGTTGTGTGTCTAACCCTCTCTCTCGTTGCTGTCACTCTCCTCTTCTTGCTGGCGTCATTTCTCTCATCCCATCTCATTGGCTGCTATAGCAATAGGTAAGCAGCCTGTTAAGCTGCCACCCAGGCACCGGTGGGTGGGGTGTCCTGTCCCCCCATCATTGTTTTCTTCATCCTTTTTCATTCCCTGAGCTTGCCCTGGAATTGGATCCCAGGCAGAAATGGGTGGCCCAGCTCCACAGCTCCTTGGTGCTTCTCCCTCAGTAGATTAGAGCCTCCTCTGAAGTCATGCAGGCTTTGTCTAACTTGTGGGGGAGCCAGCCTTCCCCATTGGTGGGATTACTAGTGGGAAGACTGCGTCTCTCTCATGTGGGCCTGGAGCTCACTGGGAAGCTAGAGAAGTGGTAGCTGGGAAATTGGGGGCATCCCTAAACTTGATGGACCGACCTCACTTTATTCAGTTTACATCTGTCTTCCTATCATGGCGCTTTAGAGTATGTGTCAGACTTCAGCAGTGAAGTGGGGATCTGTTAGTAGCTGTGATTGATCCCTGTAGAGTGAGGTTTGCCTGAGTACTGAGCAGCCCGTCTGCCCTTTTCCTCAGGAGGAATGCAGTGGACGCTTTCCGGGTCAATGTTATCCATGCCCGGCAACAGGTGCGCAGCCCCGTCACCAACATCGCTCGCACCAGTTTCTTCCATGTTAAGCGGTCCAACATCTGGCTGGCAGCTGTCACCAAGCAGAATGTCAATGCTGCCATGGTCTTCGAATTCCTCTATAAGATGTGTGACGTAATGGCTGCCTACTTTGGCAAGATCAGCGAGGAGAACATCAAGAACAATTTTGTGCTCATATATGAGCTGCTGGATGGTGAGACGCGGAGTGGTGGGCCTAGGGTGGGGATGAACCTGATGGGGCCTGGCCTGGAGGTGGGAGCAGGTCTGAAGCTCCAGTGCCTTCTGAAATTTCTTTCCTGACTATGTGGTCTTTTGAGCCCTGGGAAGGTTAATCCAAATCCAGACCTAAAGTCTGCTCTGAAGTAGAACACAGAAATAGGCACTAGTGAGTAGAGGAGGTCTTTCATGGGGCTGGGACCCTGACTGGGATTTGGTGGCTGGGACTCCTGCAGTAAGCACTTTTCACCCTCTTTGTGGTTTGGGCCTTAGTTCATGACTGTCCCTCCAGCTTCCCATCTCAACATCTGCCTCAGAGCCTGGAGGAGGGTGAGGTATTATAGGCCCCTCAAGTGCATTGCATTGTTACCTTGGCTCCTCTGTAGGGTATGGTTTAAGTGAACAGAGTCATTCCACCTTCCCAACATCTCTCCGTTTTCTAAGGCTCAGTGCTTCTTGACCTCGCACCCACTGACCACGTGACTCTTCTACTGATTTTCTCCATTTGATAAAATCTGACATTTTAGAGAGAGGAAGGGAGGAGAAAGAGACATAAATGTGGGAAAGAAGCATTGTTCGGTAGCCTCCCACATGCATCCCAACCCCAGGGACTGAACCCAGAACCTGGGCATGTGCCCTGACCAGGAATTGAACCAGGGACCTTTTGGTGCACAGGATGGTGCTCTACCAGCTGAGCCACACCAGCCAGGGCAAAATATGACATTTTCTTATGAAGAACAAATCCCAGAGTAAATACTACAAAGCTAGAAGACTTTACTGCAGGTGGTCCCACACCCTTCTGGAGCTGTGTGGCTAGACATGTCTAGGCCAAGGAAGGGACAGGAATGAAGGAGCCTTCAGCTTTCTCCAGGACCTGATGGTTCCCTTCCTTTTGCAGAGATCCTGGACTTTGGCTATCCACAGAACTCAGAGACAGGCGCGCTGAAAACCTTCATTACCCAGCAGGGCATCAAGAGCCAGGTATTCGAATTATACAGCTACAGTCCGGGTGGAGCCCAACCCCTTCATCCCAGCTGGGCCCTGAGCCTTGTCCTAGCTGACTCATGAAGCTGCCTTTGACAGGAAGTGCTGGTCTGATCTTTCTGCCATGACTGCAGGCTTATGTTTCCATATGGCCCTTTCCCAACCGAGGTGCAACTGACTCAGCATCTCTGTTACTAGGAATACAGATCAAGCAGTTTCCTTCTACACTGGGGGAAGGAAGAAGGGGGTTGCTCTGGAGGCCTTGGTTCCTCAGGAGGAGAGAGTTTGGACCCTCCTCTAGGATCCAGGCCTCATAGCCTTCTTTTCTGCCTGTCTCTTCCCATCTGTGCTACCCTACGGCTTCCTGTGGGCTCTACATTGGTCCTGTGGCCTCCAGCATCAGGTAAGGTATTCCCTCAACTTCTCCCCTGGCAGCTTTACTCCCTTTCTCTAAGTCCTTCCCCACTGGGCCTCTGGGGGAAGATGGGTTTCAGGGCGGGGCCTAGAAGGAAAGAGGGATGAGGATGGAGTGCGGATACAGACAGGATGATTAAAAGTGGAGAGGAGTGAGGCCATTGCTGTTTGTCTCTATTTCCATGTAGACAAAAGAAGAACAATCCCAGATCACCAGCCAGGTGACTGGGCAGATTGGTTGGCGGCGGGAGGGCATCAAGTATCGCCGGAACGAGCTCTTCCTGGATGTGCTGGAGAGTGTGAACCTCCTCATGTCCCCGCAGGGTGAGAGCCTCTCATGATAAAGCTTGAGGGGAACGGGCAAGGTCCTGGTCCTGATCAGCTTTTCCATTTGTCTGTCCATCACCAGGGCAGGTGCTGAGCGCCCATGTGTCGGGGCGGGTGGTGATGAAGAGCTACCTGAGTGGCATGCCTGAGTGCAAGTTTGGGATGAATGACAAGATTGTAATTGAGAAGCAGGGCAAAGGCACAGCTGATGAAACAAGCAAGAGGTGCCTGAGGCAGGGGAGCTGGTGGGAGTGGGTGGACCTTGGAGGGTTGAGGGGGGCCTGGTGAATCACAAATTCTTTCTGGACATTTCTGTAGTATTGTAGACTCCCTCTTCCCAAGGATGTACTTGGCTAGTTGCTCTTGACATCTGTGTTTAACACATTGCGTACCGCATAGAAATCTCTAAGACATACGCCAGGGACCGCACATTTTTGGGCAAACTGCACGTTATTTAAATCATCATAATGCACTTTAGGTGTTGTTTTTCAATAATTATAACATTTTTATTTACAAAAACAATTAAACAAAGTTCCTAGTACTTTTTTAACGTATGGTACTGCGTAAACATTTTCCTCTATGAAGAGGGACCAAACAAAATTTACATAAGTATCTAGATTCGCTCCTTTTTCCATGGGCGTGAAAAACAAGAACACTCGTGAGCGGTCCTTAACAGATGGCGTGCGAAACACGAGAAAACTCCTGAGCGGTACGAAATGTGTTAAGCAAGATGAGGGAATTGCCGTCATCCTACTCAGAGAGTAAGCCCCTATATTTGGTCCCCAGGACCGAGGCTTTTCAGTATATACTGATGGCCTCTGCCCAGTGTACCTGAAACCTCTAGGTCCTAAGCAGCAGAGCACTCAAGAGATGGTGAGCTTGCAAAGTTCCCACTGATCCCTAATTATGGGGCAGGGACCCCTAAGTCAGAAAGCTGTATTCTGACAGGTTTGGGGTTTTTTTTAAACCTTTACTGTTGAAAGTATTACATAGGTCTTCCTTTCCTGACAGCTTTTGATAGTGTATAGTGGAAACCTCACCCAGGCTCTGAAAGCCTTTGTGGGTGGGGTAGCCTTCCAGCCTAAATCTCTCCTGCCACTCCCCTGTACCTATGACACTTTGTGCCCCTTCTTGCAGCGGGAAGCAATCAATTGCCATTGATGACTGCACCTTCCACCAATGTGTGCGACTCAGCAAGTTTGACTCTGAACGCAGCATCAGCTTCATCCCACCAGATGGAGAGTTTGAGCTCATGAGGTGCCATTGGGATGTGAGGAGGCAAGGGCAAAAAGTGGGGAGAGGAAAGAGGACAGACTCTGCTATGACAACCTTGCTCTCTACTCCTAAAGGTATCGCACCACCAAGGACATCATCCTTCCTTTCCGGGTGATCCCACTGGTGCGGGAAGTGGGGCGCACCAAGCTTGAAGTCAAGGTGGTCATCAAGTCCAACTTCAAGCCCTCACTCCTGGCTCAGAAGATTGAGGTGAGGACAAGGGACTTGGGGAGGAAGCAGCACTTGTCTTCAGGAATAAAAGCAGCTGATGTCAGGGTTTGACAGAGCTCCCTGACAGGGGTGTTACTTCTAGGTGAGGATCCCAACCCCGTTGAACACAAGTGGGGTGCAGGTGATCTGCATGAAGGGGAAGGCCAAGTACAAGGCCAGTGAGAACGCCATCGTGTGGAAGTGAGTCTTTCCTTCATGAGGCCACAACAGGGTTTAAGAAGCCTCGATGTACCCTCTTACTCAGTTTTACTGTTCGTCCTCTGAGTGTGTATGTGTTTTATTCGGGGAGGGAGGGGATTGCCTATTTGCTTCTCCAGGAGCTTCTACTTGCTCTCACCCTGTACCGATGTGAATGTGCCACCTGTTTGCACTTGGGTGCACACCTGCACTTATTTATCAGGATGCTTACGTTTTCCTATGTCTGTGAAGTAAACAGTAAGGGATGGCATGACCACGTGTCTCAGCAGAACCTGCAGCCCACAGTGCTAAAGGAACAGCAGATCCAAGGTTCCGTAGCAAGTGGTAATCGAGGTCCTCCCTGCATTTTCTTGTCCTAACACCTCCCACAAGCTCCTGGGTTCTTTCCTCCCCGCCCCCTTCGAAATTCCTCCAACCTTCCAGCAGCACTTGCTGCCCATGGCTCTTGTGTTCCTAGGATCAAGCGCATGGCAGGCATGAAGGAATCGCAGATCAGCGCAGAGATTGAGCTGCTGCCCACCAATGACAAGAAGAAGTGGGCCCGACCCCCCATTTCCATGAACTTTGAGGTATGGCGGAGGAGGGGCCGAGAGCCATAGCAGGGTTGCTGGGAAAGATCTTGGAAGTCATTCAGATCAATCTTTATACCTACTACCTGCAGATGAGCAAACTGAGGCCTTGAGAGGGGAAGTGACTTTAATTCATAGAGCCATTTCTTTCCCCTCAGGCTTCCAACTAAAATTGCTATTCACACTAACAAAAATCTTTACCTTCTTTTGGCTTGTTGTAAGATAATTCTTTGGAAAGCTTTAGATTGCTTGAATGCCAAATAAGACACAAAGTTTACTTACAGGAAAATGGGCTGACGTTGCTTTGTGCAAATTATATGTTAGACATACAATTTTCTCCACCTTATTTTTTAAGTCCATAATATTGAGATGTTCTAAGTCAGGTCTTTGGTTGCTGCTTTCTGCAGATTAAAGGAATTGATTCAAGTTATCACAGGCAGGACCTGACTTCAAACCCAAATGATTACTGGTTACTCTTGGATATGCTTTATTCTTTAGTAACCTTTTAGAGGACCCCCTCACTACCTCGACTTCTTTCAGGACACTAATCATTCAGTCACCTGTAGTAAGGAGGTAAAGGTAGGGCGGGGCTACAGAACTTCCCAGAAGAGAGAGACTGACTGGAAGGCCACATTCCTAACGAGCTGTCCCTTGCCCAGGTGCCATTCGCGCCCTCTGGCCTCAAGGTGCGCTACTTGAAGGTGTTTGAACCGAAGTTGAACTACAGCGACCACGATGTCATCAAATGGGTGCGCTACATTGGCCGAAGTGGCATCTATGAGACACGCTGCTAGCTGCTAGTGAGGCCACCACACATCAGTGTCTCCTCCCTCCTGCTTTGCTGCCTTTCCTTTGCACCAGCCCCTGAGTCTAGGTCTGGACCAACCACATCGCAAGTAGGACAGGTGGAGCTGTCCCTGGGCTCCCTGGGCAAGGTGGTTTATGGGGCTCCTGCTTCTCCATCCGTCTGTCTTGGCCCAATGAGTTCTGTGACCAAAGTCAGGTGGGCTTCTCCTCCCCTCCCCTGTGGCCACATCTCTCAAGTGGGAGGGTTGGCTGCCCTTCACCTCAGAGCTCCCCCAACAGCTAGTAATGGATCCCTAGCCCTCAATCCCTATTCTGCTTTGGGATAGTGTGAGCTTCATTTTGTACACGTGTGACTTTGTCCAGTTATAGACCCAATAAACTCTGTAGAGTGGAGTAGCTGGCTGTGTCGATGCAGGGGGATGGGAACTGGTGGGACGGCTCTTCCTATGTCTTACACTACCTGCTTTGAGTACAATTTTCTGTTTTGACCTCTCTCTCAAGGGTTCTTCCCTTGTCTTGGTCTCAATTGTTAGGCCCCTCCAAGGCCATCCAGTCCTTAATCCTGATTTGTGTTCACCCCAGGTCTCCTGTCTTCTCTGAGAAGAAAACAGTTTTAAGGGCCAGCAGCCCCACCTGGCCCCAGGTCCCTAAGGGTAGAGATTCTTTCTCTAATTCACTCCAGCTTTTGGCAGATAAAAGAGCAGATTTACCCTCACCAGTTTTTACTTGCTTGGTTTCAGCCTTTTTGAATCTGAAAAATCTATTAGAAAGTTTCAAAAAACATAAGTAGCAAAATGAAATGAACACTCATGTCCCTTCATCCAATTTCAACAATCAACTCATGTCCGGTTCATGGATATCATGTCCAATCTGTGTACATACTTAATTCAAGTGTCCTATAAAATTTTTATAGTTTGCATCTGGATCCAAACAAGGTCCATTGTAGGTGAATGCTTCTTAAATTTTATAAACCACAGGTTCTGCTCAGCTCTTGCAATGTTGAAGAAACCAGATATTTCTGTACAGTACATAGTTTCCCCCCTCCGAATTTCTCTTTCCCATTGTTACCTATAAAGTGATTATTAGCTCTAATAGCTTCTATAGATTTATTTTAAATATTAGGATTGACTGATTCCTCACAAGGATGAATTAATGTAATTTTAGAGCAGGATTGGAAGAGTGTTCACATTAAATGTAAAACAGTAGCATCATTAACTTCTGAGAGAATCCGGGAAAGGAAGTAGTCTTCAGAGTTACTTACTGAGATTCAGGCCGAAGAAAAGTCTGCTTTAGGTTTAGGTAGAATTAGAGAATATCAATGAATTTATACAGGCTGTGTTCACCTGGTTTTCTCGCCCTCTGGCAGAGTGAGGCTGTGCCCTGGGGTGGTGGAATAGGCATAGCTTGTATTGAGTTGCAAGACACGAGCAGAGCAGGTGAGCTTCCAGGCTGAGACCAGCCCATAAAGGTTGGGAACCATAATAACCGGGGCTGCACAAAACTGCGCAGGGGGCTTCTGAAAGCTCGGGAACCAGCGTGAGTCAGCAAACATCTCGGCTGGCTCCAAAATGGACCCGCTCAGGCGTGCAGACTGGCAAGACAGGTGTGCTCGACCCACCGCCGGTCTCTCGGGCGGTTCCCACCCGCTGAACCTTGGACATTCGAGTTCTCCGCCTTCCGGATCGCCACCTCCCAGAAGGCGGAGAGGGCCGCACGTGTGGCTAATTTCTCAGCGGAAAAGGCGTTGCGCAAGCGCAGAGAGCAGCTCTGGCGTAGACACAGTGGTGCTCGCGCACGGTTCTTTCGGCCCCGCCCACCGGGTTCGGCGCAATCCACGCTTTGCTTATGTCACCACTACGCATGCGCCGTGCAAGGAGGGACGCGCTTTGGGGGAAGGGCAGGGGTGGGCCTTGGCCGGGGTCTCACCGCGACTGCGCGGAAGGGAGCCGGACTGTAACATGGCGACTTGCGCTGAAATCCTGCGGAGCGAGTTTCCCGAAATTGACGGACAGGTCTTCGACTACGTAACCGGTGAGCCCAACCGAATCCGCGGGCTGGGGAGGCCAAAGGGGAAGTCGGGTGGGAAAGACTAAGGGAGGGCGGGGCCGGGGGCCGCTGCTGGGCCTCTCCTCTGTGTGACCTCTTGTCCCGAGGGCGGGATGGGTCCGGAGCCCGGACTCGGGTCGCGGTCCCGGGGTTAAACTGCTTGTGTGCCCACCCTGCCCCGTGTCTTCCTGGACCTGCCCCGCCCCGCCCAGGCGTCTTGCACAGCGGCAGCGCGGACTTCGAGTCCGTGGACGACCTGGTGGAAGCTGTGGGGGAACTGTTGCAAGAGGTGTCCGGGGACAGCAAGGATGACGCGGGCATCAGAGCCGTGTGTCAGCGCATGTACAACACTCTGCGCCTGTACGTGGCGGGGGGCGTGTGGGGAGGGGGGGGAGGGTCGGTCGGGAGGCAGGAGGGAGTCAGGTCTGATGGCCCAGGAGCTTTGTCCTCACCCCCTAACTGCGCTTGCCGTCCCTGCCGTGCAGGGCTGAGCCGCAGAGCCAGGGAAACAGCCAGGTGCTGCTGGACGCCCCCATCCAGTTGTCAAAGATCACGGAGAACTACGGTGAGAATGAGGGGAGGTTGACCTAGCTACCCTCTCCTGTCCTCCGCCGCGAGGCCCCAGCCGCCTGCCTCCTGGAGCTCAGAACTCCCGGCACCTCTTTTCCATAGGACAAGATTGTAGAAGCTAGTTGATGTCTTTACTGAAGGCAAAAGAGCCCATTGATGCAGGGAGTAGGGTTGGAGGGTTCTCCAAGCTCTTGGCAATGGTATGAAGCATATGGGCTTTGGAGCTGGACAAACTTGGGTTCACCCACTCCCCACCCCCGATTTTGTGACTTACTAACCAACTGCATGCTCGTGTTAGAGTTGCTTATCAGCTTTGTGTCTGGCTTATATTAGTTACTCAAAATATTAGTTTCCCTTCCCTCAGGGAGAAGGTGACTGCTTTTCTTCTCGTCTACAGACTGTGGCACCAACCTTCCAGGGCTGCTGAAGAGGGAACAGTCCTCGGTGAGGAGGAGGACGAAAGGGAGGGGGCTGTGTATGGTTGGGGTAGGAGTTGACGGTCTCTAAATACTGGAATATCTTTCTGGGGGATTTCCGAATCTTTAATTCTGTTCACCATGGATAAATTGAAAGGGTGAACTTGAGGTGCTCTCTCTGAGCCTACACCCGAGGGTGAAATGGTTTTGTTTGGACCCTCAGACAGTGAATGCAAAGAAGCTAGAGAAGGCTGAGGCTCGACTAAAGGCAAAGCAGGAGAAACGTTCAGAGAAGGACACACTCAAGACCAGCAACCCTCTGTGAGTTTAGCAAAAAGGGTTAAGAGAGCAGAACAGTCTCTACAGGGATGAAAGGGCGGTTGGGAGTGCCAAAAGCCATCCATTTCTTCTTTTAAAAGAGTCTTGGAAGAGGCATCAGCCAGCCAGGCAGGCAGCAGAAAGGAGAGTCGGTTGGAATCATCTGGCAAGAACAAATCCTACGATGTGCGAATTGAGAACTTTGACGTGTCTTTTGGCGATAGGTGAGGAAGTGGCAGTGGGGCGTGTGATGTTTTTCTTTTTCCAAATAAAGGAGAATTTGGAGAGATTAAATGGGGCTAAAAGTAACGTTAGGTTTCTGTTGTTAAACTTGCAGTACACCGATGTCTAGAGCACCCTTTGTCTTCTTCCTGCTGCCCCTGCAGGGTGCTGCTGGCTGGTGCAGATGTGAACCTGGCATGGGGCCGCCGCTATGGGCTAGTGGGCCGGAATGGGCTGGGGAAGACAACACTGTTGAAGATGCTGGCCACCCGGAGCCTGCGAGTCCCAGCCCATATTTCCCTGCTGCACGTAGAGCAGGAGGTTGCTGGAGATGACACCCCTGCCCTGCAGAGTGTGCTGGAGAGTGACACTGTACGGGAAGACCTCCTGCAGCGGGAGCGGGAGCTCAGTGCCCAGGTTGCTGCTGGCAGGTGAAGGCTCCGTGCAGCTCTCCTTCACAGAGTGCCTGCCGTAGTGTCATAATCCAAAATTCACATGCCCATCCTAGTGAGCAGGGGAGCTTAGAACTTAGCACTCTCAAGCCCTTGTTCCTTCCACAGTGCCCAAGGTCCTCAATGCTGTGAGCACGTCCTTCCTGTACTCTGTTCTAGTCCCAGCAACAGGGCAGCCAGTGGTCTGCTTTCCAACAGCATGGGGTACAGGACATCCTCTTGGACTGCCCCTACTCAGGCTGATTGCTCTGCCCTCCATTTCCTTCCCAGGGCTGAGGGCTCAGAAGCTGCACAGCTGGCAGAAATCTATGCCAAACTGGAGGAGATTGAGGCTGACAAGGCACCTGCCAGGTATTTGAAATTCCCCCTTTCTTCACATTTCACCTTTCCCTTCTGTTACCTGTTCCAACTGGGTTCTTCACTTCTAGGGCATCAGTCATTCTTGCTGGACTTGGCTTTACCCCTAAAATGCAGCAGCAGCCCACCCGGTGAGTGGCCCTTGCCATTCTTGACTGTGAATACTGTTGGCTCTGCCCCTGTGCTGGTGAGCACCCACCTCTCATGCGGCTCTTTCTTTCTTTAGGGAGTTCTCAGGTGGCTGGAGGATGAGGCTGGCCCTGGCCCGGGCCCTGTTTGCTAGGTGAGTCTTCTGGGCCTGTATGTGGATTTTATGGAGGATGGGCCTTGGCACTTAGGGGTTTGCAATGGATCTCTGAGCTAAATCCTCAAGCTTTGCGTTCTTGTTCTCCATAGGCCAGATCTTCTGCTGTTAGACGGTAAGTTTGAAATGTGACACCCTAACTTCAGGGTGAGGAAAGGTGGCAACACCCACGTTCCTACATCTCTAGCCCTTCATTCCCAAACGTGTTCACTTTTTTAGAACCCACAAACATGCTGGATGTAAGGGCCATCCTATGGCTGGAGAATTACCTGCAGGTGAGTGCCTATAGGTGCCGGAGTAGGTTTGGGGGAAGTCTGCCTCCAAGACATCTAGGGGCTGGGAGCTGACTGCCCTCCCAAACTGGGCCTGCTGTCCTGTGACCCCTCAGACATGGCCCTCCACAATTCTGGTCGTCTCCCACGACCGAAACTTCCTGAATGCCATAGCCACAGACATCATCCACCTGCACAGCCAGCGGCTAGATGGCTACCGGGGAGACTTTGAGACCTTTATCAAAAGCAAGCAGGAGCGACTGCTCAACCAGCAGCGTGAATATGAGGCACAGCAGCAGTATCGCCAGCATATCCAGGTGTGGAGCCGGCAGGGCTGAGGGCCCCATCTCAGGGGTATTAGATTTGCAGGGAGTGAGGGAGCCTGACCAATGCCTGCACTCATCCACCTGCAGGTTTTTATTGATCGGTTTCGCTACAATGCCAACAGAGCCTCTCAAGTACAGAGTAAACTCAAGATGCTGGAGAAGCTGTGAGTACAATGTCCAATGGCCCTGACTCCTGTTCTCTTAATTTCTGGCCTCATTTTGCAGGCCATCCTTGCCCTCCCATTATAGGCCTCCCATTTTCTAGAAAACAACTTGAACTTCCTCCCCCACAAAAAAGTAAGAAGTTTTATACTGTTCTCAAAGAGTTAATCTTGCCCCCAGGTCCTAGTAACCACTAATCTGCTTTCTGTTTGTGTATATTTATTTATGCTGAACATTTAATATAAATGGAATCATACAATGCGACCTTTGTATCTGGCTTCTTTTGCTTAACATAATGTTTTTGAGAGTTATCTATGTACTAGCACATAGTACTTCATTCCTTTTTATGACAGATAATATTCCATTGTATGGATAATACCATGTTTTGCTTATTGATTCATCAGTTGATGGATATTTATGTTTTCTCCTTTTGGCTCTTATGAATAATACTGCTATGAACATTTGTGTACTAGTTGTGTGGACATATGTTTTCTATTCTCTCGGATGCATACCTAGGAGTGGAGTTGCTGGGTTATATGGTAATTCTATGTTTAACTTTTTAAAAAATACATATTTTTCTTGGTTTCAGAGAAGAAAGGAGAGGGAGAAAGAGATAGAAACATCACTGATGAGAGAAAAATCATTGATCAGCTGCCTCCTGCAAGCCTCACACTGGGGATCGAGCCCACAGCCTGGACGTATGCCCTGACCGGAATTGAACTGTGACCTTCTGCTTCATAGGCTAAAGCTCAACCTCTGAGTCACGCCGGCTAGGCTGTCTTTTTTTTTTTTTTTTTAAATACTCACATGAAGGCATGCTTAGAGAGGAATGGTGAGAGAGAAAGAAACATCAATGGGTTGCCTTCTTTATGTGCCCCAAACCCACAGCCCAGGTATGTGCCCTGACCTGGGATCAGCAGGCAACCTTTTCTTTCAGTGCACACACTCAACTACCTGAGCCGCTCTGGCTGGTTATCTTTAATTTTAGCTACCCTAGTGGGTGTGGCATGTTATCTCATTGTGGTTTTGATTTGCATTCCTTGATAACTAAGGGTGGTGAACATTGAAGGTTGAATCTTTTTGTTTTGTTTTTGTTTTGCTAATCTTAAAACAACATTTCTAGAAGTGCTGGTGTTGGAGAGCCTAAAATCATAAGGCTTAGGATTTTTATGACATTGAAACGTACATCATGATATGTTAACTAGAAGGACAAAAAGCTGCAACAAGAATAATACTATTTTTTTCCAGCATTTAGTAAACTAAAGGAATGTACAGTCATGTGCTGCTTAATGTCAAGGATACGTTCTGAGATGTGTTGTTGGGCAATTTTGTCATTGTGTGAACATCATAGAGTGCACCAACCTAGATGGTATAGCCTACTACACACCTAGGCAGTATGTTATAGCCTATTGCTCCTAGTCTACAGGTCTGTACGGCATGTTATTTCGCTGAATACTGTAAGCATTTGTAATACAATGGTAACTATTTGTGTAACTAAACATAAAAGTTACAGTAAGACCCAGCTGGTATGGCTCAGTGGTTGAGCATCAACCCATGAACCAGGAGGTCACAGTTCAATTCCTGGTCAGGGCATATGCCTGGATTTCGGGCTTGATCCCCAGTAGGGGGCATGCAGGAGGCAGCTGATCAATGATTTTCTCTCATATTGATGTTTCTATCTCACTCTCTGAAATCAATAAAAATATGTATTAAAAAATGAGAGAGATGCAGTAGACAAAGGATATTTACAGCAAAAAGTATATAAGTAGCATAGTCATTTATTATCATTATCAAGTATTATGTGCTGTACATAATTACATGTGCTGTATTTTATACACTGGCAGTGCAGTAGGCTTATTTATACCAGCATCACCACAGACCTTGTGCTATACATTATGACTTGGCTCTGATGTGACTAGGTGATAGGAATTTCAGCTCCATTATAACCTTATGGGACCATCCTCATGTATGTGGTCTGTTGTTAACCTTGTTATGTAGTACAAAACTGTCCTCGAAAATAAGAATGTTATCTGGGTGGTGGGACTTAAAGGTTTTCTAAGTTTTCTCTGAGCATATATTTCTTGTGTGATGGAACACATGAAAGTCATACATCTAGAGTGCCCCCTCTTTCCTCAGGCCAGAGCTGAAACCCGTGGACAAGGAGCTGGAAGTAGTGATGAAGTGAGTGCTGGACCAGAGGGGCTGGTTGGAAGCTCTTGTTTCTGGCCACTGCAGTGCTGTTCACCCCCACCCTCCCTCCCATAGGTTCCCTGATGGGTTTGAGAAGTTCTCACCACCAATTCTGCAACTAGATGAGGTGGATTTCTACTATGACCCTAAACACGTCATCTTCAGCCGTCTCTCCGTCTCTGCTGATCTTGAATCCCGCATCTGTGTGGTATGGTTGTTGTTTCTCTGTTCCAGGAGTTGGGACTCTCCCACCCCAACACATGCTGGGGTTTGGCCCAGATCCTCGGGCTGCAGGGGAAAGAGGTCCACTGGGCAAGAGTTGGGGCCTGAGTCAAGGACTTGGCTATACTTATACTGTCCCCATGCTCCAGCCTCGCAGGGCTGCCCTGCAGAGGTGAAAAGAAAGCCTGGCATCTGGTACTTTATGAATACTTGAAGCAGTATTCTGTCTTGCTCGTCTCTGCTCTCAGTTTTCTCAAACCATGGAACATAGAGGAAAGAGTATAGGCTTCAGGGTCAGACTTCAGATCCTGACTCTGCCATTTCCCAGCTTTATTACTAAACAGTTTTCTCATCTTTAAAATGGAGATAATGTCTACCTCCCTTGGTTATTGGGAGAATTAAAGCCCCAGCACTTAGTAGCTACTCAGGTATTAGGCTCTCTTTACATATTTATTTACCTCCTTCATTTTTCTCTTAAATTTCTGAAAAATATTTTAGTTGTTGAAAGAGTCATTGGGACTACCCAAGTCCAATTCTCATTTCCTTTCCTTGTGTCCTCTACATGTACACTCTAAAGGTCTCATGTTTCTTCTTATAGGTTGGGGAGAATGGGGCTGGGAAGTCTACCATGCTGAAGCTGCTTATGGGGGACCTAACACCTGTTCGAGGCATCAGACATGCTCACCGGTAGGGCCGACACCTTCACTCTCCCAACTACCTGTACACTTGTAGCTACATTCTTTATGGTCATGCCTTTCATCCCCTCTTGCACCTTCATTGCTGACTGCAGGAATCTGAAGATTGGCTATTTCAGCCAGCACCACGTAGAACAGCTGGACCTGAACGTCAGTGCTGTGGAGCTGCTGTCACGCAAGTTTCCTGGTGTGTTAGGGCTTGGGGTTCAGGAGAAAGTCCCAGGGCTGCTGCCTACAGTTAGGCCTCCTTGGGGAGGTGCTGAGCAGCCCAACAAAGTCTAGGTGTAAGGACAGAGGTATTTGAAGGTGGGGCTGGGGAGAGGGTGAAGGGAGGGCGTTGGGCCATGATCGAATGGGGCCTATTCCAGGACGGCCTGAGGAGGAGTATCGTCACCAGCTGGGCCGGTATGGCATCTCTGGAGAACTGGCTGTGCGCCCTGTTGCCAGCTTGTCTGGGGGCCAGAAGAGCCGGGTAGCCTTTGCTCAGATGACTATGCCCTGGTGAGGCCTTATTTTCTAGAATTCTTGCCCTCCCTGTCCCCCTCTAGCCTAGTAGAAAATGATTCTCTTGTCTCAGAGGTCACCTGCCTGACCTTGCAGTGGGCTGGGCTGTTGAATGAAGGGCAGTTCATGATTTCTCCAACTCCCCATAACTATCCACCTTCCTGGGTTCTGCCTTCCAGCCCCAACTTCTACATTCTGGATGAACCCACAAACCACCTGGACATGGAGACAATTGAGGCTCTTGGCCGTGCTCTCAACAATTTCAGGGTGAGTGTGTCTTCATAATGCCCACTCCTTCCCAGGCCTCAGCACTCCTTAGCCCCCCAACCCCCTGAGTGCCTCTGGTCTCCTGTCTTTCAGGGTGGCGTGATTCTGGTATCCCACGATGAGCGCTTCATCAGGCTGGTGTGCCAGGAGTTGTGGGTGTGCGAAGGAGGCGGCGTCACCCGGGTCGAGGGGGGATTTGACCAGTACCGTGCTCTTCTCCAGGAACAGTTCCGCCGTGAGGGCTTCCTCTAGGCCCAACAAGCTGAGGGCTATGCCCAGGACATGGACTGGTCTCTCAGACCCCTGGGCCACCATGTAGGCAACCATCTCCAGGCCACGGACCTCCCCTGACTTTGGGGACAGCCTTATTCCTAAATCTCTCCTTTTGACTGGAGCATGCTCTGCACAATCCAGAGAACCACATCTTAGGGTCTGTGAGGACTGGTCTTCTAAGTGGAAGGGGTAGGAGGGTACCCTCTAGGGTTATAGTTCCTCCACTGCCCCAGCTCTGACTGGGCCCCAAGTGGCTGCTGTGTAAATTAAATCTTCTTGCCTCATCTCTGCTGTTCCCTGGCAGGGCTGCAGTGTGTTAAGGGGTGTGGGCTCTCTGATTTGTTACTCTCCTGTGACATTTGTATCAATCACAAAGAGGAGGTTATAGCATCACCAGCCTTGACCCTGGGAGGAGACATCACGAAAGGGGCTCAGAGGTCACCTGCCTGACCTTGCAGTGGACTGGGCTGTCGAATGAAGGGCAGTGTGTTACATCACTGTGGTGCTTGTCCCTGTAGCGTGGGCTCGGCCTCACTGCTTAAGAGAGTGAACTGATTCTGTAATCCTGCAGTTTTAGACATGGTTTGTCATCTGCTTTCTCCCATGGTCTCTGGCCCAGGCTCACCCTGCTCCTCTGATCTGGACCTTCAGAAGGGTCTGAAGAGAAATTGTCTTTGTCCCTGTTTTGCTTGGGTGGTTTCTTTATTTTTCCCTCTAACCATGTAAGAGGGGCCTGGGAAGAAGTTGAAAATGGGAAGAAATAGAGCACTTTGTTTTCAAATTAAGCAGTCTTAAGTGTGGGGTGGGATGTTTCACTGTTGGCGTCCAGCTCCCCACATTTCACAGAGGTAATAGGATTTATAAATATTGCTTCTCGAGGGCTCAGCTGCTATATGTAATTGTTATACAGAAGACACTGACATAGAGACATTGTGTTGCTCTCCATGATGATGGAGGAAACCAGTCAACAGAAGCAACTTGCTGGCTTCATGGAGAATTATAGTCACAAAGCTCAACCAAGGAATGTTAACTCAGCTGGTGAGGTTATGATAGTGCAGGTAGGTGGAGGGAGATACCTGTTTTTAGAGTAAAGGAGAATAAAGACAGGAAGTCTCTGCTGATTTACTATAGAACAGGCAGTGATGGATGAATGAAAACAGCAGAAGAGCCACGAATCAGCCTGCCTCCTCAGCCTCTCTCACTCCCTTTCAGAAGTCCAGAGGAGAGGTTCTTCCAACTGTGTGTGACTTTGTGAATCCTCATGCTCCTAAGAGCCTTCTCACAACCCCATCACTTCTGCCAACCTCACACCTGCAGATGGGCCAGTCAGGGGCCATCTGGTGTGTGATTTGTGTCTACCTGTTTGCCAGGCTCAGCCCCTTCACCTCACACAAGCTTGTGAATCCTGATATGAGTTCTCCCAAGTCCTTAAAGTTGGTGGGAGTGCAGCTGAAGGGTTCTGTGACAGAATCTGCTGCTTTTGGAGGTAAGTGACTTTATACAAAGAGCACTGGAGTTGGGTTTAAGATCAAGTCCCAGTGCCAGTACTGGTGATAGAAGGAGTCACCAGACTAAGAAATACTAGCTGTGTAAGGAATCACTTAACCTTTTTGAAAACCTCTGCGTGGTTTCTTGATAGGATTGTGTTGAGGATTAGCTGACAAGCACATTATACATGTGATTCATAAAGTGATTTTTTTGTCTGTGGCCAGTCTGATTTGAAGGACTATCATGGGAAAAGCAGATTTTCTGAGTGATTCCAGAGGTGGACAAGTTTGGGTTCGAAGGAAGGAAAATTTGTAATAGCTCAGGTTGCCTCCTGAGAGTAAGTTTCCAGTCTCTGGGACTGTTCCGCCCTGCCAGGCTCTCAAGACCTCTTTCAGGTTGGTTTCCAATGTCATGATTCCATGAACAAAATAGGAAGAGCCTGTATATGACAGTACAGGCCTACATATCAGGCCTTGAGAAAATGAATTGTAGCGGCTGAGAAAGACTACATTAAGGTTTGGGTGAACTTCTGGAGGTTAAAAGAGGAGAGCTGGCAGAAGATAGTTGTCTTGAGGGAAAATATAGACAATGTCAACTCCGTTCCAGAAAGCACAGGGCGGAGAGAAATTTGATCTGCATGAGTGGGAAGCCACCCTTGATCACCACAGACTGCCCATCACAGTAGCCACCCCCTTCACACTGGAGAGCCCATATAACCCAACCATTGGGGAGCTGGTCCTTCCAACTGCTGAGGTTGGAGCTGCCCTGCTGACATCAGGCTAAGTTCTCACTGTTTTCCAGGCAAATTTTAGAATGGAATAGGGGAAAAGGTGCCGTTTACCCTTGCTGGCTATGCCCCAGGTTAATTTGTCATTTTAGAATGTAAAATTCTAGTAAAAGCCACTCCACAAGCCTGGGCCTGGCCCATCCACAGGTGCAAGCCAAACAACACCTCCAGCAGCATCAGCTTATGGGTCTGCACCAGCCTGAACATGCAGACTGGATTATGGAACCTGGGGAAGTCCCAGCGGGCTAGCAGGCTGGGTTCACAACCTGGCTGAAGGGCCTCTAGGGGTCCCTGAACCTGGAGCCATTGACTCCCTTCAACCTAGCCTCCCTCCAAGTGCGCTTCATTGCACCTAGTGCTTCCCACATTATAAGCTGCTGCCATTAAAGTTGTAGATCCCACTTTGCCTGTTAACCTAGAAGGCCAGACCATGGCTTGCTCGTCTTTCTGTCTTAGGTGCCTGCCACAGGTTGGGTTCCCTGGGACACAGTGTGAAGAAATCGTCATGCAGAGTGTTTATTGGGGTATGCTGCTGGGACCAATACCAGGATTGAGCAGAGGGAGAAAATGGGCAGCATGAAAGCCTCAGCCCCACCTTCTGGAGCTGGGTAACTGCAGAGTTGTCCTGAGTTGAGGCAATGGCTCAGGCAGGCCTTTATCTGCTGAGTTGACTAGTCTTTGAATGCTGGCTGCTACCAGAAGATGGGAAGTTGAGAAAGGAAGTTTTCTTCAGCTGAGACAATTCCCCCAAAGGGACTGACAGCTAAGGACTTTCCCATCAGCACCTGCAGCTAAAGCAGCAAGTCCATTCCTGAAAGGGCATCCTGGCAGCCCATCACAGCATCTACAGTGCCTGGCCTATAGACATGTGCTCAATAAAAGTGCTTGAGAAATGAGTATTTGGGGGAGATTATTTGAGAAAAAGTAGAGAATGATATTGGAAGAGGAAAAAGGGGGATAAACCAAGAAACCAGCCAGAAGGTCATGATCAAAATCCAGTCCTAAGGGCACGGGGTCAGCACGGTGCAGGTGGGGACAAGGCTAGGGAGGATGGTGTGCAAACTCAGCAAGGGGCTGCCTGCCCTGCCCAAACAAGGAAGGACTCCTTTTTCTGGGCCAGAGTCTTGAAAGCTTAGGGACCTAAGGAACAGGTTTGTTAGTAAAGCGAACCTTTTTGTTTTTAAACCTCGCCTTGTTTCCTTTTAAGACAATGCTAAGGAATAATGACAGTACTAAATATTTATTGAGTTCTTACTGTGCAATAGGGACTTTCGTAAGTCCTTTGCCCACACTCACTCAGTCCATCTTCACAAACCTGTTATTCCCATTTCACAGATGAGGAAACAGGAAGTTGACATAGTGTGTGGCAGGACTGGGATCCCGGCCAGTCTGGTTCTAGAGTGCAACCTTCACTGTCATGCTGTACTACCGCTCAGCTCCTCGTGTGACCTGCTCAATGGTTTTGTTCATTCCATCAATTAAAACTCATCAATTGCATGGGGCAGGGGTGGGAGGTAGGGGATTTGAACAAGCTCTCTTGAGAGCAAGCTGATGAGTAGGAGTACCTGCATTGGCTGACACGCTGGGTGGTCCGTGAAGTTGTTTGTTAAATTAATAAGAAAAAAACGTGGAAAAGTCATGCACTGGGATTAGCACAGCTCTTGCACTAATGGCATCTTGGGCAAGTCAACCTCTCCTGAGCAAATTATCCTTATCCATAAAATGGGTATAACCCAATTTGTCTTGCCTGCTTCTTTGGGTAGTTGGAAGGATTAAATGAGACAAAGCCCCGTGTAAGCTGAACAAACATTTCTGTGAACTGTAAAGAGCTGTGGATCCAAAGGGTGTCATTTTCATGGATGGAATGGGGGGCGGCAGCCTGGGGCCTCCTCTGGAGACACATAGACTAGCACATGTACAAACACTCCAGGCCATCATCAAGATGATTGCCCCAGGAGGGCCATCCACAGCCCTCATCTGCTGAGCCAAGCATCAGAAAGTGTGCTTGCAGGAGCGCGGCATGAGACTGCCTGGCACCTGCTGAGTTACATGGGGTAAGGTAGAAATCATGCAATTTAAGCCCATTCTAATAATATGCATAGGTCATGTCCTGTTGGTAATTCTAGGTTTCATTTTCTTTATGTTAAATAAATGGATGGTTTGGAAGTGATTTCTGCTTTACTGTATATAGAGAGGCCTTTGAAACCCTAAATTAAATATTTGTCAACCCATGCTACAGCATTTTTAACACCGAGGAACGCTTTCACTAATGTTCTCCTTTGGCCTTGTCTTCTCCATAATCCGTTAAGTGGATCTTGATGAGTTATTCCCATTTTACAGAACTGGAGCTTGAGGCAGAAAGATGGTAAGTGTCTTGCTTAGGTTCAGATACCTCTGTGCGTGCAGAGATGGGGCAAGAACAGAGGTATCTGGGTCTCTAGACTTACCGCATCTCTCCAGATCGCTGTTCTCAACTTTGTTCCATATTCATACAATGGATGGCATTCTCATGTCACACATGCCCATGGGCATACTCAGGGTCATGTTACCTTCAATCTTTTCAGGCAAGTGTTTTGAACCTAATTGTTCAAGATGGGAGATGTTCAAGCAGGGTGTCAGAACCTAACAAGGCAAGGGGGGCATCTGTATAGGAAGGTGGTCCAGTATGAGGTCAGAACCTGAGTGAGGTGAGGACATTCAAGCATGGGCATGGCCTGCGCTCTGGGGTGGGAATGCAGCCTGCCTGGGGAATCAAAGCCCAAGCAGGGTGAGGGGGACATTATTTTTTTAACTCATCTTTATTATTGATAGTATTACAGATGTCCCCTTTGTTTTGTTCCCCATTACCCCCACCCCACCCCATACAAGCCCCTCCCAGGCCTTCACCAGACTATTGTCTGTGTCCATCAGCTATGTACATATGCATATAAGTTCCCCAGTTATTGTCTCCCGCCTTCCCTCTAAAATTCATCAGTCTGTTCCATGTCTTTTTTTTTTTTAAGTTTTTATTGATTTGAGAGAGAGAGATGAAGGGAGAGGGAGAGAAACATTGGTGGCTGCCTCCTGCACACCCCCTACTGGGTATCAAGCCTGCAACCCAGGCATGGGCCTTTACCAGGAATCAAACTAGCGGCCTCTCAAGCCCGGGATGACACCCAACCAACTGAGCCACTTTAGCCAGGATAAGGAGGATGTTTTTGTTTTTTTTGTTTTTTTAAATATATTTTATTGATTTTTTACAGAGAGGAAGGGAGAGAGATAGAGTGTTAGAAACATCGATGAGAGAGAAACATCGATCAGCTGCCTCCTGCACATCTCCCACTGGGGATATGCCCGCAACCAAGGTACATGCCCTTGACCGGAATCGAACCCGGGACCCTTCAGTCCGCAGGCCGACGCTCTATCCACTGAGCCAAACCGGTTTTGGCAGGAGGATGTTTTGAGGAGGGGAAGACCCAGGACCGGGTGTTGGGCAAGTTTAGGGTGAGGAGGGTATTTACTGAGGAGGCAGGTGGAAGCAACCCAGTGTAGAGTATTGGAGACAAGAGTGAGAAGGGCATGTGAATGCAGAAGAAGGCAGTGGTGACAGGGATAATTCATGTGGATAAATGTGTTAGGGAAAATGGGAGCCCAGTTTCTCACAGTTGGAGAAGGAAATTATCCTATCTAATTAGGAGGGGATATGCTAATTGACCCTCACACCATTGCAAAGATGGCAGCACCCACAGCCAACAAGGAGGGAATATGCTAATTGACTGCCCCGCCCTCAAAGATGGCAGCACCCACAGCCACAAGATGGCGGCACCCAGTCCCCTCAGCCCCAGCCACCCAGGGCCAGCCTGAGTGCAGGCAAGCCTCAGATGTCGGCTGCCCAGCCACCCAGGGCCTCCCAAGGCGCAGGTAACCAGGGCTGGCTGAGGCTTGTGCTGCCCGTAGTGGCAGCAGCAGAGGTGTGATGGGGGCATCACCTTCCCCTGATCACTGGGTCGCCTCCTGTCCCTGCGGGCTCCCGGACTGTGAGAGGGGGCAGGCCAGGCTGAGGGACACCCCCTCCAGTGCATGACTTTTCATGCACCGGGCCTCTAGTAAATATAGAAAGGGCGAAAGACCTAGCTGGTTTGGCTCAGTGGGTAGAGTGTTGGCCTGCAGACTGAAGGGTCCCAAGTAATACATAGAGGTAGATTTAAAAATCAATATATGGAGAAACCAAGATGGTGGCATAGGTAAACACCTGAAATTGCCACCTCGAATAACCACTTCAAAACTACAACTAAAGACAAAACAGACATCACCCAGAACCACAGGAAGGCTGGCTGAGTGGAAATTCTACAACTAGAAGGAAAGAGAAAAGCACACTGAGACTCAGGAGGTGTGGAAGTAAAGTGCAGAGGTACGGAGGTGCGCGCAGAAAGGGCTGGCATTGGAGGTTGCCGGTGTCTTTTTCAGTTGGGAGGTAGTCTCAAGCTCCCGATGGCCCTGACTCCAGTTCTGGGCGAGTCTCTGGGGACCCAGACTCACACGGGGAGAAACTGGACTGTCTGGCAGTGGGTGGAACTTGAGGGCAGCTTTCTCAGAGGTGCTTGCAGCTATGACCGTGGGACACTGAGACCCGGGGCCTCTTAGGGCGGGACTGAGGACCAGCCATAGCTGTTTGCTCTGCCCTGTGGATTCCCTGAGACCCCGCCCCACCCAAGGCTTTTGCATATGAATGGGCGGGCCCTTTGAGATCTAAAATTGCCTAGCAAGCTGCAGCTGGGTCAGAGAGAATCAGAACATCCAAGGGAGGGCTCAGGGCCCCACAGCAGCTTGCATTGCTTTGCGGCTGGGCCTCACCTGGGTGCCTCCGGACGCCAAACAAGGAGGAACAGTCTGCAGATCTCTCCGTAGCTCCTGCTGGGTAGCCTCGGGCGGAGGCTGAATTGGCACCTCTTTGGGGATTCAGGAGCCCGTGTGCCTAGTGGTTGGAGTGGGACTGTCCAGATTGCAACTCCTCAGATCCAGAAGGGACACACTCAGGGGGCAGACTCAGTGAGCACCAAAGCCCCACTGAGGCAAGTCTTGCCCCATAAGGGTGACTTCAGCACAGAAGTTCTCCCACTGTAGACACAGCTGATTCTCACAGCCAATTGGCCTGGAGGTCAACAACAATCAAAGCT